TCTTTTTTTGTTTATATATTTTTTGAAAAATACTATTTTATTTTATAATTCTTTTTGTGTAGGAATTAAAATATGGAATTTAGGATTTAAAAAAGAAAAAATACTTGCAAATAACTATTTGTAATTATCTTTTATTTAGAATTTTAAAAAGGAAAAAATACTATCAAATATTTTGTTTAAAAAGAAAAAAAATACTTTTGATTAATGATATTTTAAATAGGATTTTTTAATAAACATGAAAGTTAGTTATCAAATATTTTTGTTTAAAAAGAAAAAAAATACTTTTGATTAATGATCTTTTAAATAGGATTTTTTAATAAACATGAAAGTTAGTTATTTACAAACAAATAGCTTACACATCTCTTGTTCAGGATTTTTTTTAAAAGGAAAATTATATTAAATATTTCTATAAGTATTTGTAAAATTCATAATTCGTTTTTGCTTTATATTTTTTTGAAAAATACTATTTTATTTTATAATTCTTTTTGTGTAGGAATTAAAATATGGAATTTAGGATTTAAAAATAAAAATTACTTGCAAATAACTATTTGTAATTATCTTTTATTTAGAATTTTAAAAAGGAAAAAAAATACTATCAAATATTTTTTTTTAAATAAAAAAGACTTTTTATTAATGATCTTTTAAATAGGATTTTTTTAATAAACATGAAAGTAAGTTATTTACAAACAAATAGCTTACACCTCTTTTGTTTAGGATTTTTTAAAAAAGGAAAACTATATTAAATATTTTTATAAGTATTTGTAAAATTTATAATTCGTTTTTTGTTTATATAGTTTTTGAAAACTACTATTTTATTTTATAATTCTTTTTTGTGTAGGAATTAAAATATGGAATTTAGGATTTAAAAAAGAAAATTTCTTGCAAATAGCTATTTGTAATTATCTTTTATTTAGAATTTTAAAAAGTAAAAAATACTATCAAACATTTTTTTATTGATTAGTTTTATATTTATGATAATTATTTTGACATATGTCACAATCGCACGATTGTTATTGCCACGATCATGTTAATTAATAATTTTGAAGAACTAAGCTTTATATAATAAAATATATATATATATATATATATATAATATAGTGATTTTTAAAGAGTCAAATTTGATACAATCTGGTTTAAAAGAACCATTATTTTACTAATGAGTACCGGCAGATGAACAACATGAGAAATTTATATTCTTCAGAATTGGTACTAGCTATAGTACTCTAAAACGTATACTAATCCCATAGAAATCCAAACCAATCCAATAAAAGGTATATCCGATCTGAAACTAATATAATATCTAATAAATTTTGTTTTATGATATTTTTAGTTTTACTTGAACCAAACAGATATTCAAAAAGCTGAAATTTTTCAAGACCCCCAAAATCTCATATCAAAAATTTATGTTTTGACAATTACATTTAAAATTTATGTTTTGACAACTGCATTTAAAATTTGATTATAACTAAATTTTCTTCAAAAGTTTCAAAAACTATTCTATTTTTAAGTTTAAATGACTTTTCATACATTTATTAGAATTTTTTATTGTTAGTTTTATCTTGTTTATGTTTCACTTTTTAACAACCAATTTTTAATCATACCATACTACAAACTTTTGTTAAGGCAAATTGTTTAAATCTCCAAGTTTGTTAATTTAAATATGTATGTTCAAATAATAAATAAGTATTTGCATAACTGAAACCTGAATTAGGAGTTCAATCGGATTTCTAATGTGTTGATATATCTGAACTGAATCTGAGTAAACACAAATCGGCAACATACCAATTTTTTTATAATATCCGAATGAGACTAAATTTGTACTTCCAAAAACTTGAATCCGATTTGACCCTGAACTGATTTGATACTCGATCGTCCATACCTAATTTTGGCCTAATAAAGCTAGAAAACAATTAGAGCTTGCCTATCTCTACATAATTTATTGTGTTGCGAGAACACATGTATTGGTCGAGGTAGTAAGTATGACAATGTATATACATATAGACTTTGCTTTGATAAGCATAATGCTTTTGACTCATTGTTTTTTTTTTGTCACAAAAAAGAAATAGACTTAAACTGACTCTGAAAACCATAACGGCAGCTCCCGCATCCATGTGAATGAAAAAAGACGGTTGTTTTCTGACACTCCGTGCTAGGCTATCCGCCTTCTTTTTTTGTGTTCGTGGAACATAAATAATCTCTGAGCTGAGAAAAACTTCTTGGAGGACCTTAATGTCTTCCAAATAACTTGCAAAAGCAAGCCATTCTTCTGGTTCCGATACCATCTTCACCAATTGCGAATAATCTGTTGCAAACATAACCCAAAACTGACGTAGATTCCTCATACATTCCATCGCCCATATCAAGGCCTCGACTTCGGCATGAAGTGGTGATAAAGATGCTCGAACATTTCTTGCTTTCATCAAACTATCAAACCTGTGAGAGTTCTATACCATCCTTGCCCTGAAAAGGAATCATTTTCCTTCCATGATCCGTCTGTAAAGCACCACCGTCCTGGAATTGCCGGTGTATCAGCTGCCGCCATATGTTGTACTGGTCCATGTGGTAGCAATGCTTGTGCCTCCATCCATAATGTTGATTCAGTCTCTGCCAATTTGAGCTTATCTCTAAGATCAACATCTAAATTACTAAAAACTTTATTATTCATTCCTTTCCAAATATACCATAGAATCCAAGCAAAGTAATGGTCCTCTAGTTTGGGTTGCACTCTCCAGAATAAATGACCTATGTTTCTGAACATGGACTGAGATGGGAAAATGTCTGGGTTTGAAGGTATCCTTGAAAGAACCCAGACCTAACGCGCTGAAGGACATTAAAAAACATATGGTATATTGATTCCTCTGGATCTCCACATCGAGCACAACATATATCACCTTTTAGTCCTCTCTCTTTCAGATTCTTTTTGACTGCTATACACCCTGATACCAGTTGCCATAGAAAATGTTTTATCTTTGGGTACCAGCAGAATGATTTTAAAATATCAACTGTTGTTCCAAACACTACTGGTTTTTGATCCCTATCGGGATAAACCCTTTCAACTTGATAACCTGATTTAACCGTGTACTTGCCATTACTTGTGAAGTGCCATCCATCCTTATCCACCATCCGTGTTCTGCTTAGTGGTATGCTTTCGATGATTTTGATATCCTGAGGATCCACAAAAGTCCGAATTGCCTGTGAATTCCAAGTTCGTGTAGCTGAGTCAATGAGAGAATCAACTGTAAGATCAGGGTGACTGGTATGTTGGTTTTGTTTGCTGGTCTCGGACGAGTGGTTGGGAGCCAAGGATCATTCCATACAGAGATAGAAAATCTTGTTCCCACCCTTTTGATTAGTTTTTTGCTAACCAGAGATCTAGCATAAATCATACTCCTCCAGCCGTACGAAGGGGAGTATGATCGAATCGGTTTCAGAGGTGAAGCGTTTCTGAAATACCGTCCTTTAAACACTCGAGCAAATAAGGTGTTAGGTTTCTCTATCAAACGCCATAGCTACTTACCTAACATCTCCGTATTGAAATCTGTGAGATCTTTGAAACCCAAACCTCCATCGTCCTTAGGTAAACATAATTTATCCCACGATTTTCAGTGCATTCCTTTCGTACTCCCGTTTGGGCTCTATAAAAAAAAATGCTTTTGACTCATTGTTGGAAGCTATAGTAGTCTTTTTTTTCTAAGAAATCTGATAATTCGCTTTTAGGAGTAATAATTATGATGATCAGTAGTCAACACATTCCGTTAATCCATTTGTGGTGATTGGAAGGCACGTCTTCGGAATGACAGAGTAGTGGCGAACCTTAACCACTATCAACAACAACAAAAAATGAAACAATAATGTTTTTTTTCGGGAGAAAAAATACTACTTTGTTTTAACATTTTTTTTTATAAAAGCGTATTTATTTAAAAAGATATTATTAATACTCCCTATGTTTCTTAAAAGGTGTTTTTAATATTTGATTCTTGTTTTAAAAAGTGCTATTTTATATTTTCAAAGTAATTTTTTACATATAAGCTCCTTTTTAATCATTTCAAACCGATCAATTTTTATTTAAATAATTTTATTTAAATAATTATATATTATTGAAGTTAGTATATTTTATTATTTTTTAAACCACGTGAAATGTTTCAAAAAATCACTTTTTCAAAACAAAGGAAGTATACACAAGTCAAAACAAAAATTTAAATTTCTGAAAGATTTAAGAGGTGTATTCAATATGAAATTTAAAATGATTAAATCTTAATGAATTAGATAATTTTAAATGAATTTGAGAATTTGGTGTGATTTTTTCACTCAACAATTTTGTTTAAAACTATGAGATTTGATACTTTATTTTTATAACTAAGAAATTCCTCTCAAATAATTAAAACACTTTAAAATCTATAATTTTTTTCAATAACACTAGATTTTTGAGTATTTTATGAAATGACAAGTTCAATATATTAGATTTTAATTATTATTTAAAAAATAATAATGTTTGAATACATTGAATTTATCCTATTAAAACAAATCCCTTCAAACTTCTAATCAAATACACCATCCTTTTAAATACTGCTTACAAAAATTAAACCACTTTTTAATATGTTAAAAAAATTCAACTATTTTACATCTAATTTTGTTTTCATAATTAAATAAGTATTCGTTACTCTTTTTCTAAAAATAACACACGGAAAGACACAAAAAAAAATTCTGAGTAAGAACTAAAAACTGTTTACAAAAAGTCAACTCTTTGTTTTTAGAAAATTAGTCTTTCATGATTTTATTTCCTTTATTTTGTTTTGCTATCGATTTATCAATGGTACCAAGAGTGAGAAATACAGAATATAGGACTAAATGAATCCATTTGAAAAGGTCAGGGGTACATTTAGGAATCCATACTAATATTCGGTGCAGTTTCCGAGGTTAAAAGCGCAATAACACAAAAACCAGAGAGAACTTTTTCAATTTTCTTAAAAATAAAATTTTGAATATTCTAAAAGGAAGAAGAAAAGCCCTAAAGCTTTCAAGAGAAGACACTGACGAAGAAGAAGAAGACCTCTTCTTAAAATGCTCCCGCGAACTCTCTTCTTCCAATGTAAACCTTAGAAACCAACCTTCTCTCTCTCATACTCACTTTCCCTAGAAGACGAACGAAAATGGCGAACAAGCTCAAAGTCGACGAACTCCGTGCAAAGCTCGCCGAGCGCGGACTTGAGACCACCGGACTCAAATCCGTTCTGGTAATTTTTCCGTTGAATCTCTTCTCTTCTCTTATCGATTTCGTATTTTGAGTTTTGGTGATTTGGTTAGGTGGAGAGGCTTGAGGAGGCTATCGCAGAAGAGGAGAAGAAGGAAGAATCGAAGAAGAAGAGGAAACGAGCCGTAGATTCTTCTGACGGTGTTGATTGTGATGATGATTCGAACAAATTGATTGCGATTGGAGAGCTACGCGGGATGAATGTGAAGGAGTTGCGTGAGGAAGCTAGTAAGAGAGGCTTAGCTCCTACAGGTACCAAGAAGGAGCTTCTTGAGAGGCTCTGCAATGACTCAAACAATGATTCCAGTGCCCCACTCAAGTCAGGTGAATAGGTTTTTAAACTTTATGCATAATCTTGTTGCATCCAATACAATAGTTGACAATGTTTAAGAAATAGCTAGGCGGTGATTATAGCTTAGTCAGGGGCGCTTAGTTTTTTTTTTAAAGAAAAATAGTTCTAGAAAATTTGCTCTGTTTAGGTACTATTTGCCGCATATGCGCCGTTTAGACTGATTTTTAGAACACTTGTACCAATATTCTTATTGACATTTTCAGGGACAGATGGAGCTGAGGATGACGATGATGGCTTTGAAGAAGAAAAGAAAGAAGAGAAGATTGTAACTGCTACAAAGAAAGGAGCAGCGGTATTGGATCAGTGGATTCCTGATACCATAAAGAGCCAGTACCATGTTCTACAAAGGGCAAGTTCCTTTTTTTTTTCTTCATTTAAATGTGGTAGAAACTGAGATTCTCCTTGCCATTTCTTTGAGATTGACTTTGAGTTTTTTTTTTTTTTTGTTGAATGATTGTAGGGTGATGATGTTTATGATGCCATGTTGAATCAGACAAATGTCAGGGATAATAATAACAAGTTCTTTGTCCTACAAGTGCTAGGTATGATTAGGATGACACTTGTCTTGTTTTTTAAGAACCCGTTGTAGCTTTTATTGCGTTTGATGTCTTTCTCAATTCTTCATGAATCTGTGTGATCTCTGCGCAGAGTCTGATAACAACAAAACATATATGGCCTACTTCAGATGGGGAAGAGTTGGTGTGAAAGGACAAAGTAAATTAGACGGGCCCTTTGATTCATGCGATCGTGCAATAGATATATTTAGCAATAAGTTCCTTGATAAGACAAGGAATAATTGGTCTGACAGAAAGGAGTTTGTACCTCACCCTAAGTTATATACCTGGCTCGAAATGGACTATGGCAAAGACGATAATGATTCAGCTGTTGTGAGTATTTCGGAAACTTGACTGATGCCTCTATACTTTATTCCTTAACAATTTTTGATGTGTCATGCTCGCAATCATCTGTTGGAATGGAATAAGACATTCATTTCGCAAAAGCTAGCTTTCTCATTGTTCAAATGCACTTTCTCTAAGTTTGCAACTTGTTTTTTCTCAGGTCAGTGATGTTCCCAAATCATCATCTGAAGCTAAACCTGAGGAATCAAAACTAGATACCCAGGTTGCCAAGTTCATCTCTCTTATATGCAATGTAAGCATGATGGCACAGCACATGATGGAAATAGGTTAGTCTCTTTCTTACTTCATTTATGTTTAAGGCCAGAACGAGCAGTGAGTGACATTCATTTGCTTATATTGGTATCCGAAGACATAATTTCTTAGATTTTTGCCTGATTGTCGTTCTGCATCTCATATATTTTCGATGTTTGAACTTTGAAGGATACAACGCTAACAAATTGCCACTTGGCAAGCTAAGCAAGTTCACAATAACAAAGGTAGAAATAGAAAATGTTTTTTGTCTCCTTATATAGTTTTGTGATATCAGATAATATCTCTGCTTGGATCTCTCTAGGGTTATGAAGTGTTGAAGAGAATCTCGGAGGTAATGGTGGGCCGGATTGATAGAGCGAGGATTGAGGAACTGAGTGGGTATGTATCTCGTTAACTGCTAGAATGAGTGTCCCGTTTAGTAGAATATATAACCATTTTCCAGAGAAATTGCATTCAAGCTAGTCTCACTTTGTATCATTATTTGATGCAGAGAGTTCTACACTGTGATACCCCATGATTTTGGGTTTAAGAAAATGAGTAAGTTCATAAGCGTTTACATGTGTACAGATTTTAGATAGAGAATGATAATATAATTAAGCATTCACTAACTTCTGAATTGCGAGTTGTAACAGGTCAGTTTGTTATAGACACTCCCCAAAAGCTGAAACAGAAAATAGAAATGGTAATTCTTTCTACTGTTTACTACGTGACTAGTTTTTTCCCTCAGAAAATTAATAGTCTAGTGTAACATGTTATGTGTAGTTTTAACACATCACCGTTTACTGTCAGGTTGAAGCATTAGGTGAGATTGAACTTGCCACAAAGTTGTTGTCCGTCGACCCGGGATTGCTGGTAAGTCAGTCAGTCTATGTGGTTTAAGGCATCAAATAACTTTTTCATATAATTCTCGGATGATATGGCATTATTTTTTGTTTGCAATGGCTGTAGGATGATCCTTTGTATTATCACTACCAGCAACTTAATTGTGGATTGACACCAGTAGGAGCCGATTCAGAAGAGTTCTCTATGGTATATTTTATGTTTTTCTTACAAGTACCTCAAAGATGTCTGTATTTTCATACATTTACCTGTTTTCTCCTTATTGCGAGATTAGGTTGCCAATTACATGGAGAACACTCATGCAAAAACGCATTCAGGATACACAGTTGAGATTGCTCAACTATTTAGAGCTTCAAGAGCTGGTGAAGCTGATCGATTCCAACAGGTATGTTACGGTATCTCAAGCTTGTCTTTACCGTACACTACTATTCTGATTTCTCATTTTGGTACTGTGAAACTTAAACTTTTCTTGGCAGTTCTCAAGTTCGAAGAATAGGATGTTACTCTGGCATGGGTCACGTCTCACTAACTGGGCTGGTATTTTATCTCAAGGTAACAACAGGTTTCTCTGTTTTTATTATTCTTTTTTTTCTCCCAGTTTTCATTGTGAAGTGAAGTGAACTACTATGAGACAACCAAACAGGTCTTCGGATAGCTCCTCCTGAAGCGCCTGTAACTGGTTACATGTTCGGAAAAGGAGTTTACTTTGCCGACATGTTCTCCAAGAGTGCAAACTATTGCTACGCTAACAGTGGTGCCAATGACGGTGTCCTACTCCTCTGCGAGGTATACTCTCTTCTTCACTCTTTTCTCAATTGATATGGTTCGACGTGTTAGCACTACCTCTATGTCTTTCTATGTTTCGTAATGATCAAAACTTCTTTAGGTTGCTTTGGGAGACATGAATGAGCTTCTTAATTCGGATTATAACGCGGATAAGTTGCCTCCAGGGAAGCTAAGGTACATATCATCTCATTATTATATCATAAGGGTTCTTTATGTAGATGTGTTGAGAATTACAGGTTTGCTACTGTATAAAAAACTTGATTTGTGACTGATGGTTGCAGCACAAAAGGTGTGGGGAGAACAGCACCAAACCCATCAGAGGCTAAGACACTAGAAGACGGTGTTGTTGTTCCACTTGGCAAACCAGTGGAGCACTCAAGCTCCAAGGTTTTGCTGTGTTTTGTTTCTACACACTTTTTCACCAAATCATAATTACATAAATTTACAGATTGATTTTTTTTTGGCTTTTTTTTGGCAGGGGTCGTTATTGTACAACGAGTACATTGTATACAATACGGAACAAATCAAGATGCGATATGTGATCCAAGTCAAATTTAACTACAAGTACTAAAAACACTTATGTAGAGTGAACCGACCACCTCATTTTCAAACACTTTGATGCTTATTGGACTTGTTTTCTATTCGGCTTGGGATTTAACCCAATGAGCGTACTACCCACATGTGTGCTTAAGAAAACCTTTTATGTGTGCGGCTCTCATCTCGCTAATCTCAACTTGAACTTGATTTCTTTGTAAATATCTGTTCTAAAATATGATATTTATGTATGCATTTCAATTAATATGAAAATCCATATACGATTACAACATTGGTAAAATTTATTGACAAGTCTGAAAATACTCTGTTCGTCATCTGCAAGAAGCAATTGATTTTCATATGAATTACAATGCAGTGGAGTTGAGATAAAACAAATTTTGTGTATCATTTCAACCATGAAGATAGATCCCTAGTTCCTGCAGCTCCTGATCTAACCTTCGAAGTTTTAAGTATATAAATAATATATAAACACATCAAATGATAAACAAAGCTTCCATTAAAGAAACTGAACAACAATTGCAGATGAGCAACTCAGAAAAAAAAAAACAAATTGACTTGTCTATGAAACAGTTTTCTTCGTCTGTCATGAGTTGAATGTAACTTGATGGGTGTGTTGACACATGCTATAGGTAGAGTGGAAAAAGTGTTGTCAAATTCTGTTCCAGTTCAAAAGAAGTTGTGTTGATTTGTGTGAACAGATGCGTTGAAATTTCTCCATGAACTGCAGAAAATTCCTGAGCTCAACTTTCATTTAGAAAATGTAGACATTGTTTATTTCAGAGCTCTTCAAATCCTTGTTCATCTCCATCTTCTTCAACCCTCTCAAACTCTTGTCTCCATTTCTCCATCTGCAACATTTAGTTAATTTTAGCAAATGTCTAAAGTAATGGAGACTTGACTGAGATGTATCTTTTACCGAGAGACAATTATAACCTGATCATCTGAAAACCTGAGCTGTTGTGCTACAAACATAATCGTGTCATTGTTCACTTGTGAATGTAATGCAACGCCTAAATTCTCAGCGATCTCTTCATAGCTAACTATGTTCACCTGGAAACCGTTGCTCATGAACAGTTTCTCCATCCACTTCTTCAAATCTGACTGCACTCAGACCGGGTAAAGATTATAAGGCGAAAGATAGATAGAATGTGCAAAGATAGAGTTAAGAGATCAAATTAGTGACCTGGTGTGTGATATCAGTAGGCAATTCTCCTATGAGATAGCTTTCATTCATAGCTAAGCTACTAACTGCTGATAGAATCGCTTCAAAACAAGATTGTGACTCAATAGGCAAGCCCTGTTTACGAGGTAGGAAGAATCTTAACATTCATACAAATTGCAGGGAATGATAGAGAGAGAGAACGCATATAATATAACCTGCATTGCCCATATACTTGGGCGGTTCCCGCTAAACCCTTTGGACCGTAAACATTGCTCTATGTCTCCTGACTCCACAGGAATGTGAAAGAAGATGCAACCTTTAGGAATCCTAGCCCCCACACCTGGAACATATAACAACCACCAAAACCATAACTAGAAGCAAACCAGAGATGTATTCTTTGTAAAAATCACAAAGGAAAACACAAACCCTGAAGCTTGTTAGATGCTACATCGAAAACCTTTTGTGGTGAAACATCAAAGATCATAGTGGAAGTAGGCCAGTTAAGTCTATAAGGACGAGTATCCATTCCATCTGTGAACAAAACAACCTGCAAAGATATAATATCACTATTACACATAACAACTTAACTTACACATAGACTTAAGATGTGACAAAAAAAAAAAACACATAGACTTAAGAAAAAAGACAATGGAATTTAAGTAAAGGAAAGTAACCTGCTTTAGTCCATCAATGCGTTTAGCTTCATGTAACAACTTGTCATCGATGAACTTTGTTGCAAGACAGTAACGTTGTTCTTGTTCAGGGATGTTCAGTTCCTTGTTTGAAGAAGGAGGTAAGAAGCAAGCGGCATAGGGGTCGATGAATAAAGGGTCTGGTTTGCATAAATCAGAAACCTTTTTAGTCAATTTAAGCTAATTTGATAAAGCGAGTGTTAGATGTTCGACGAAATGCCTCAGAGAAAGTCAACACATAAAATGATAATATGAGAGAGATTGCCTGTTCGATTGGTTTCTTGCAGACGGAGAGATGCTGACTTGATGGCTGATTGAAGCAAAGGGTCATTCTCTTCTCTGAGCTCTGCCTTCGCTGAGCGCGCGAAGGACGTCGTCGGAATTCGACGGAAACGGAGTGCGGTGGTCGGAAAGTGTAGAGGCGGAGCACATAGACTTTGCATCAGTGGGCGGTGGTGATTTTTTCTTTTTTTGGATGGTGAAGAAGATAGTAACTAACACCTCTGACGCAACCAGAGGTTTTCAAGTTGATTAATACTCCCTCTGCATTTAAAAGTAGGGAAAATAGCATTTTTAATCACGAAGTTGGCAAAAGTTTTCAGTTTAAACCATCAAACTCTAGCACTTGCAGTTTAAACCTTCATACTTATTATTGTAACACATTAAACATTCAACTTGGCATCCGTCGTCCTGCCGTCTCTAAACTTAACGGGACAGTAAACGTCGTTAACGAATTTAATCACATCATTTAGTTTTAATAAAACGTGGTTAATTCTTATGTCTTTTTAACCACGGGTTTAAAGAGAAACTGAAACAGAATTGGGGATTTAGGGTTCTAAATTTTCGAGAGAGAAATCAACGAGAGTGAGAGACGAAGTCGAAGAAGAATGTCTCAGAGTCTCAATTCGCAGAGTGAGATTTCATCATCCAATGATGGTGTGAGATGTGATTGTAACAAGCCAGCGAAGGTTGTCCGAGCTTGGACCCGTGAGAATCCAGGTCACAGATTCTGGAGCTGCAGAGGGCGTCGTGTTGCGAACGGGTGGGATTCCTGCAATTTCTTTCGTTGGCCTGATGTGGAGGCTCCTGATAGATGGCAGCATCTTGCATTGTTGGAAGCTAGAGACACAATCCGAGAGCAAAAAGAAGAGATTGCGAGTTTGAGGCAGAAGGTAACACTTTCAACTCATGGCTGTGATAACTCGGAAATCTCTAGTAAATTGATGGAAAGAATGAAGGAAAAGAATGAAGAATGTGAAGCTCTGAATAGAGAGGTATTGATTATAAAGGAGAGGTCTTTGGTGCTAAAGAATGTTCTTGTGGCTTCATCGATTGAGTTTGCTGTGGTAATTGGAGGTTTAATGGTGATTTCCAAGTATTGATGTTGTTGTTTAATTTCTACTACTATGTTTTTTTTTGCTATCGGTTTCAAGACTCATGTTTGCTTTAAGGTATCGGTTGTAAGACATGTTTTTTATGCTTTCGGTTTGTAAGACTTATTTTGGTAAGCCTGTGGATTGTAAGATATGTTTGTTAAATTCTGTTGAGCTTTTACTATTAATTGTTATTGTTGTAGTTGAATCTAGTCTTGTGAACAAAGAAATCTTGGAAATAAGAAAATCCATCGATAATGTTGTTAAACATTCATACAAAAGTGGATAAAATGGCCGGTCAAAGCTAATAGCAAGTACCAAAACACAAACACTTAAAATGGCCGATCAAAGCTACTACCAAGTACCAAAACACAAACAAAGATGATCTTCTTAACTCTCAGCAGGAGGCTGGTCGTTTTGGTCTTGAGGAGGATCTTCTGGATTTTCTTGGCCACATCTATCATAGACTCGATCCCCAAACACTTCAAATGGCCGATCAGTGAAAGGGCTCCAAAATGTCCCAACACCATGTGGTATGTTTCCGGTTTTCCTCATCTTCAGTGGCCTTCCCCGAGAAGCCTTCTTCACATGTGGTCTGATCTGATTAGGTTGAGGAGCACTAGAACTTACATCAACTTGGCCAGTTACATTGGATGGTATAGGCTGAGAGCTGCTTGTTGTGGCTGGAGTCTTCTTCCTTCCTCTAGGTTTTGGCAGTATTGTAGGATGAATCTAAAACACAAAACCAAATATTTTATAAGACAACAATGAGACACAGAGAAAAACATAAACCAAAACAAGTACCTCATTTGGGTTTTTTCGAGGATGACCGCGTCGGTTCTTTGGTCCTTCCACAACCACTGCTTCATTCTTGCAGCCTCTTGAAGTATGCCCTGCTTCCTTACATTTACTACAATGGGGAATACGCCCATGTCTAGTGGCTTTTCCAGCATTTTGTAGATCTTCAAATGGTTCATTTCTCCTGTCCCTTGTCTTTGGACGACCTCTTGACTTCCGAAATTCAGGTATTGCTATTGGTGTCTTATGAGTCTTCTTCCAGAACTTGTCACCATTCACAAGTTTAATGTTTTCCTCATAAGTCTTTTTCAAGACATCTGTGTAGTAGTACTCAGCCACATACCGAACTAGATCTTCTTGGTTATCATCTAGGACACAAACAACATGTTTACAAGGGATACCAGTTAGATCCCACTTCCGACAAGCGCACTGGTGAGTGGATAAATTCACAGTATAGCCACAATCAAACTCCTGGACTTCATACACGCTTTTGCTGCTGCGTAATGTTGAGCAGGAATTTTTTTGCAACCCTTGCTTTCTCCAATATCGCCATTGTGATTGGTGTTACAGTAGTGTGACAGTTCTGTGCTTTCAGAAACCTTCTCGAAATCCTTCTCATTGCTTGTCTTCTTACATCTTCAAGCAGGCTAATTACGGATTTTGATCTTGCCATTTTGATCGTCCTGTTGAAACTCTCAGAAAGGTTGTTGTGAACATCTGCACACTGCGACTCTTCTCTGAAAAATGCACGACACCATCTTTCAGGTTCTGTCTCAAGTAACGCACTAAATGCCGCAGGATCAAATGCTTTGACCAAGTCCATCTTTTCATTGTACTCTGCTTCAGTGTAGCTGTAGGCAACTCCCTAAAATAGATTCTTGTATTCTGATCTTGAGAATCCTCTCTTCTTCCAATTAGCGTAGATATGCCTTGCACACATTCGATGCTCGGCATTTGGAAGTTCTTTTTCTATAGCAATGACAAGGCCCTGAAAAAAAAAACAGAAGAACATAAGCGATTAAGACCATAAGATTACCATAAGTTTAAAAAAATAAAAATATATAACAGATAGATTACCTTCTGTTTATCAGAGATGATTGTCAAGTTGTCTCTGATTCCTATGCCAAGATCTATCTTTAGCTTCTGAACAAATCATCCCCAAGTATCTTTATTCTCACCTCTTACAACTGCCCATGCAATTGGGTACATCCTATTGTCTGCATCTCTACCCACAGCTGCAAGTAGGTCACCTGTCAACTCCCATTTTAGAAAACATCCATCCAATCCAATCACTGGCCTACAACAACTCTTCCATGTTTTTCGGAACTCCTCAAAACAAATATAGAAACAGTCAAACATTTGGACACCATTTTTCTCGACAGTGTACAACTCGGTACTGATACCACTATGTGTTCTTTTCAGTTCAGCTTCATAATCCCACAACTTCCCAAACTGAGTACTCTGAGCTTCCAAAATACTGTCCAAAGCAATGCGTCTTCCTCTATAACACTTCGTAACCGGAACAACAATGTTATGTCGCTCTTTAATTGTGTCTTTGATCACAGAGGCTTACAAGCTGATGTTTCTCCGTATCTCCTCTCGAAACAATCCCGCAATCACACCTTGCTTCAACATGGATACTCTGCTGGATTTTCCATGGTTGTGTTCCATTTGACAGACCTTTACCATCCATTTATTAATAGGCGGTTCAAATGAGCAATACACCTTAAACTTACACTCCTCACTGCAACAAACAACCGCTATTCTCCTTGCATCAGACCTTGCCATCTTAACATCGAATTGAGTCTTCAAAGAGTATCTTAGAAGCTGGTCTTTAAACTCTAGACCCGAGTTAAATTTCTGGAATAACCAAATATAAGGTTCCTTTTCTAAATCTCCATGAAACTTAGACTTCCCATTTCCTTCCTTCTTGTCTTTTGGCTTATCCCATTGCTCCCATTCGTTATTGGATTCTAGTGGTGTATCTGGATACTCAGCATCCTCTTCTAATACACATTCTTCTTCACTTTCCTCTGCTTCACTTTCCATTTCTTCCTTTTCATCTAAATTTTGATATGCCGCTTTATCTGCTTTTGCCTTAGACCCTTCCTCAAACACTGACTTAAACCTACCATCTTCACCACCATCTCCAGCGTCTTCAACAACATCATCTCCTATCTCAGGATTCTCATTTTCCACAACTACATCTGCTTCTTCAGCTGCAGGTTCATTCACTTCATCCTCAGATCGTTCGGGTTCCTCATCTTCAAGTGGTCTCTCAACATCTTCTTCTTCTTCACTGTTAGCTTGGTCATCTTCTTGAGGCTTCAGGATTGGTTGTTTGACTTCTTCACCCTGACTACTTGGTGTAGTAAGATAAATAGGAGCCTCACTCTGCTCAGAAATATCATGTTCGATGAAAACATCAACCTCACCGTCTTCTTCCCTACACATATCAATAAGAACATATCTTGTGGAGCTTGATCGAAGACATAGTTGACTGTCTTCATCTCTTTCCCTATCTCTTTATACCAAATCAATCTTATCGGCGCATCTATCAAAGCTTCTTCCTTACTGAACTTCAAGAATTTATCCCATGATTTATCATACAAATTCCACCTTGTGATTATCATTCCCAATTCCCCAACATACTTGTAAGACTCCAATTCTTTCTCCATAAATCCGCCGAAATGGATTCTCAAGGTTACCATATCCAATTCACTGTAAAATTAGGAAAATATGTTCACATTAGAACCCATAACAAAGAAAAAAAAAAAAAACTTAGCCTTTCTGAGAAACCCAGAAACAATGAAAGATGAAGAACGATGAAGGAGAACCATGAAGAAAAACGCATTGCTTTTCTGAGAAACCCATTAATCACAATCGAAAAATCTGAAACGGAGGAGCTTACCTCATTTCGCTTCGAGCATTTGAAGACCTATTCGATTCTTCTTCGGGTTTGATTCTTCTTTGACTTCGTCTCTCTCTCGTTGATTTCTCTCTCGAAAATTTAGAACCCTAAATTCCCAATTCTATTTCAGTTTCTCTTTAAACACGTGGTTAAAAAGACATAAGAATTAACCACATTTTATTAAAACTAAATGCTGTGATTAAATCCGTTAACGACGTTTACTGTCCCGTTAAGTTTAGAGACGGCAGGATGACGGATCCCAAGTTGAATGTTTAATGTGTTACAATAATAAGTATGAAGCTTTAAACTGCAAGTGCTAGAGTTTGATGGTTTAAACTGCAAACTTTTGCCAACTTCGTGATTAAAAATGCTATTTTCCCTTTAAAAGTACGATGTTTGAGGCTTTGCAGATATATAACCCGCACATCCGTGCGGATAATCTTCCATTTTATAGATATAAAAATTATATTATATTTTTATATAATCATTTTTAGATAATATATTGCTGTCATTTAAAAAAAAAAAAGATAATATATAGTCATATATATAAATATTTAACATATATTAACAATTTTCATTTTTCTAAAAATTGTTACATAATTTACGAATTTTAATTATTTTAAAAGGTGAATGATATTTTGGTCAACTTAAACGGTGAATGATACTTTATTTATTTATTTAAATAAAAGTATTTTTCAAAATATATCAATTTACTGATTTAATATAATTTTATATGTAATTCATCTATTGCTTCTATTTTAATATAATATAGGATATACCTATAATATTTATAAAATTAGCATCTAACTATATTATTTTTTTTTTATAAAAAGATTTTAATTAAAATTAATTTATAATAATATTGTACTACTAATTACGACATTAGTAAGTGCATTAAATAAAAAAAAAAATTATTTTTTGAAAAAGATTTAGTTAGAATTTTTTAACTGATTTTATTATTACTAAAACTAAAATTTAAATTTACAGTTAAATAGATTTGTTATTAATATCCTCATAATTATTTAGAAATGTTATGCATTAAATAAACTAATGTAAATAATTAAAAATGTAACTGAGTATATGGCTCTAGTGTGATTATTTTATAGTAGATAAAAATGGTACTTCTCTTTTAAAATGAAAGATTATCCGCACGGATGTGCGGGTTAAAATCCAAACTTGCACTCACTCTCTGCATAACACGCTAGCTCCAACGGGTCTCTATCAATACCTCTGAACATCTTATAATTTAGAGCCTTCCAAATATACCAAATTAGTCAGGGATAAGGATCCCTATCCAATT